GCTTCCTTGCTCCATCCTCCTTTCGCCTTTCTGCTGGATCAGACGGTGTGGCTCCTAAAGCCCCACCCCGAGAAGCACAGCCTCTTCACTCCTGACGGCTTGGTGAACTGTTTCTGAACACTCTGGCTCCTGGTTCTGCCTTGAGCATCCACGTGACCTCTTGTTTCTTTCCTCCGCAGGCTGATGCCAAGATGGTCTGCGATGTCGTAAGTCGGATGGAGGACACAGAGCCCTTCTCTCCAGAGCTGCTGTCAGCTATGATGAGACTCTGGGCAGACTCTGGCATCCAAGAGTGCTTCAACCGGTCCCGGGAATATCAGCTTAACGACTCGGCCCAATAGTGAGTATCCCTGTCCGTAGTCTTTTGTGTTAAGAAGCTGCAGTTGTGCTTGTTTATATTTTAACTAAAGTTAATGACCTCATAGCAGTGGATCTGAGCACGGTTCTGCTTGCGGACAGGGATGTGGGTTTTGTCACAGGCTGCTGCGAGGCAGAGAGGATCAGGCAGGACATTCATGTCCCCTCTGGCCGGTCTGGGGTCAGGTCCGTGGCCCCGAGGCCAAGTTCCCAAATGGCTTCCAAACAGCTCAAGGTAGGTTTCTACAAACATTGATCTTGAGAGCAGAGGCAGGCCAACCCATGGACATGGCCGACAGCTTCTTCATTTGTCTGATAGATAACAGAAGGGTGTGACCACCTGCTTTGTATAGCAGTACGGCTCTTGGCTTTGCTTTTCTGCTAGTCATAGGCTGTACTGATAGGCGGCTGGATTACAACCAAGGGTAGGGGATGTCTTTGCTTTTACAGTGGCATTGCGTTATTCTCGTAATTCAGTCGGTGGCATCTCTACCATTGGGGACCACATCCAGATTTTTTTTAATGGTGATTGTCTGAATCCATGGCTTTGGTTCATGCTGGCATAAAGACAGGACATCTATCCCTAAATGGTTGCTCTGGCTCTGGAGAAACGTGAACTGCCTCCCCAGTTTCATTTCAGACCCATTTCTAATGATAATTCACCCAATCTGTTTACCTCCACCTAGGCAAGGAGGCTAAAGCTTTTCATCCCATCACTTCAGTCGCAGCAGTTGTTGCAGTCAGGCAAAATGTCCCCTGGCTTGGTGCTGTGTCTTGGGCAGCAGTCAGTAAAACACGGTTCAGTAGAAGCACAAGGAACAAGCCAGCACGGAGTGATCATTTCCCCAGTTATACCCCTGGACCTTTTGGTAGCCAGGGAAATAGAGGCTTCCCTAGATGGTGGCAGGGGAATGCTACATCCATGCTTTTGGCTTGCACAATACCCCGTGTCGACAAGTTCACCGGCTGACTCATGCACTTCTGGAGCTGTTATTGCGTGTTTGGATTGTCTGGCACCTCTGTTTAGGGTTTTCTTGGATATCCATCAAAACACGAACACAAGCACTGGCGTTGCTGATGGTTTTGTTCTGCGTGGTGGGCCTGATCATCCCCAGTCTGCGCCCGCTCCTCCCATCCAAGCTGGCAGAGAGGTTAGGGAGCAGAGGATTATTTCTGCTCTCGCGGTGCTGCAGCAGAAGGCGAGTGATGACACATCACTTGGCATTGACCAGAAACCAAATGGGAGACCTGCAGATGTGTGGTCGGTGTCACAGCATCCTGCCCAACAATTTCTCACCACGAGCAGCTGCATCTCACTGATGATCCTGGCATTATGCTGCCTTTTAATCACTACTAGGTGGACATCCGTGTTTAATCTGTATTTCATTGCCTGTAGCAGCAAAATCAGCCTTCTGTTGCCAGCAATTTTTATTTCCCCCCTCAAAAGAGAGGTCTGATGGCATACACATAGCTTTAGAGATATAAATTATATAAAATGCCAGTCCTAATTGCATTACAACTCTGTGGAAAATTCTTCAATTGTTTTAGAGCCAATTACCTTGAGGAAAGTATTGTGATTTTCCTTCCATGCAAGATAGCAGTTGAAAACAATAAGCATAGCCCTCCCAGTGTGACCGGCTGCTGGGCAATTCGTCAGCAAGAGCTCAGAAACCACAAGCAGTTTCTAGCCATCAACCGAAGAGGCTCTGTGCTGTGGTATTCACAGCAAGACCAACCTGTGGTTGCAGCCCAGCAAAATGAATTCCGTCGTCTTTAACAAAATCTCTTACATCCGGAGGAGGACGCGAGATCCTCCGTGCCAGGGCAGGGCTGCTCTCCCTAGCCATGCTGTGAGTCGCGCTGCAGCTGGACGCTTGTTTTCTCTGGGCTAGGTGAAGCTGAAGATAATGAAGCCCTTCGTGTTTACGGACCCACTGCCGTCGGAGCCTCCGGTGGTTCCATTGGCAGGAGCGGAGATGCTGTCACAGGGCAGGGCACTGTAATGCGTCCTGCGGCACCTCGAGGCCCTGGTACCATCACGCCAGATGGTGATGCACGTGAGAGCTCAGTTGGCACTTAATCACACCCAGTGGACACCCACTGAAAAGAGGCATATTTTTCATTTAATCCTTCAATGCTTTGGGGTTATTTTCTTCTGCATGGGTGAAAGATTTGAGACAGTTTTCTATTCCCCCCCCTCCCCACTCCGGGAAAGGGCTTATCTTTATTGACACTGATACTGGATTTAAAACACTAGCAACTACAAAATATGTTTTCTTTAGGGCTGAGAAAAATAAATTCCAGACAAGAACTGAATCTGAAGTTCCCAAAGTTTGGAAAACAGTGATGGGCAGTGAGCTGGACTCACTCGCTCCTGTTTCAGTCTTCTCTTGGTGTTAAGCCATAGGGACCAGTGTTTTGCTGGAAGGAGGGAAGTTTGCTGCCAAAGTCAGAGATCACGCTCCACAGCTGCTCAGCACATGTTCAAAAGCCCAAAGGGACAAAGCCACCAGGTCCTGCCGTGGCCAGCACAGGTGGGACCTTCAGGAGCGGTCCAGGCACTTCCCTTCACCCCAGAAACCAGCTGATGAATGCCCTGAATGCTTTTCGGAACCCCCCCTCCACTGCCTGGCTGTTTCTAAGGAACCACCACTCGGGCTTCGCCGAGTCAGTGCTGCCATTGTCCCAGATTGCTCTTCCAGTGCTTTACCTTCAGTATTGTTAAATGGCTCGAACAGCAGGCCTGCTGTTATGGCCCCTGGGAGACCAAGTCACAGGCTAATCAACAGCCTGCAAGAGCTAGCAGCATGGCTTTTATTAGCCTATCATTAATTTCACTGAAAATAGATTTAATATTTCGTATTAGCCTAAACAAGAAGTGAGTAATAGCTCTTGTCTCCTATCAACGACAGGCAGGAGCGCATTGCTTACTACTCTCCCGTGCGCACCTGCCTAACGGTGTGGACTTCCCTGCAAAGCTTTGCGTCTTTCGGCTCTGAAGTCAGCCTGTCCTTAGCAAGGATTTCATAGCTACAGCAAAGGAACAGTAGAAAACAGCACTTTTTCAAAGAAAAAGTATGTCCAAGGAAGAGGGGAGGTTCTGTAAGGGGCCTCCTGTGTCTTGGACAGCAAAAAGGAAAGCCGTAAGGAGAGCAAGAGAAGGGAAGATGGCAAGATGGAGTGGTTGGTTTCATCTTTTCTCCTTACTGCATATTTTCATCATTCCCTAAGGCAAATTTACAGGTGGCTTGAGTTCCACATTCCTAATCTCTTGATTATGTTTTTGTTCCTACTTCGTCTCCTCTTCCTTTCTTGTCTGCATGCCTAGGAGCTAAATCTACCTCTGATCATCAGAGTCGGGGCACTGCTGATGTCTTTTTCTTCTCTAGCCAGTTTCTGTCGGTGGAAGCACATCTGTGACCCACATTTTGCTTTCAAAATCAGCAAAATAGAATTTTCCAGCTGGTTTCCTTAATCTCCTACTTTTGTTCAGATTTGAGAATTGTCCTGTGTTTCCTACCCTCGAGTTCACAACAAGCCTGGTCTACAGTGCATAGGGCAGGATGGGGACCTGCTTTGAACGGCCTCCAGACTTCAGGAGATGGAGCAGACGGAGCATCCACATGAGCACCTTTTTTCCGTGTGCATAGCCAAACAGGCACAGGCCTTGCAAGATGTGTAGGCAGAGACAGTTTGCAAGTACACAGGCACAAAAAAGCCAGAATCCATCTCAAGTTATTCTCCTCCTGCTTCCAAGTACATTGAAAGATCATTCGATAATGCCAGGGCTGTGAAACTACCGTGAAAATGTAAAATATTTTAGAGCTGCGTTCAACCCATCCATCTTCACACATATCAGAGGTGTCAGGGCTAGGAAGCTTGTTGCCTTCGTCTTCCTCCATAGGGAGCGAAGGGAGGGAGAGACGCCTCCGGAGCAGGATACAGACTTCACTGCTCAGTGGAGAAAGAGAGATGCGGTTGTATCTGCTGCTCTACCATAGCTAACCAAAGCCCTGACATCTCAAGTCTGTGCCAAACACCAAGCCCAAACTGGACAACACCTTGGTCGCTCCATCTTCAAAAACTCCTCTGGCAGTGCCTTATAGAAAAGCAGCACCAAACTAAGAAAAAAATACCATGGTGCCTTCCTTCTCACCCTGTCTCATGTGGGACTGTTTTCTGATCTCTCTTCCTTGTGAAAGAATTGTCTCTGCATGACGGTATCACCTTCCCTACTGATACTTATTGCATCCCACATGCCAACACACGTTTTCATTGAGAAAACAGTAAGAAAGTAGAGCCAGATGTTGTTGTGATGTGGTGAATGGCTTCCAGACTGAGCCCCGACAAGGCAGCATTGGAACAGGCTGCCCAAAGAGGCTGTAAAATCTCCATCCTTGGAAATCCTTAACCCTGAGCCACCAGAGCTAACTTTAGAACTGCATTTAACCTTGAAGTTGGCCCTGCTTTGAACAGGCGGATGGTCCGGACAAACTCCAGAGGTCCAGTCCAAACTGGCACTTTTGGGTTTGCCTTTTGGCTTTTTCCCCTCGCTCTTTCTCTCGTGACACTGAGTTTAAAAGGGAGAAGGGGCTGCAGTCTCCTCTGCATAGCCGTGCCGGACCATGCAACGCTAGGACAACACCCATGTCCCGCAGGGCCAGCAGGGCAAACCTTTAGGTCATGGGATTTGTGGGATGTGGGCGTTAGGCACGACTGTGAGGACACGGTCTGTTTTAATGAGCTGCAATGCTTGCTGGCTCTCTCAGATGGAAGAAAGAAAAATTATAGGTCAAGATTTCGCATTAATATTCCCGTCAGGTGCGTAGATTCCATTTTCTCATCACAGCTTTTGTATTAGGTTTTCTGTGCGCCCGTCTTACTCGTGCCTGTCACTTGTGCTCCCTCACATTTAATTGGAGGGAGTAGCAGCATAAATGGAACAATCCAATTAATTGGCATGACTTGCGTTGCGCTCTTTAT